ACGATTTGTTTCAGATCTTATATGATATTTTTCGATAAAAACATGTATATATATATATATGTATTATTTGATATATATGTCATATATATCAAATAATACACATATATATATATATAGGAAAAAGATATAACAAAAGTACCAGTAATCCAAGAACTTGAATGAATTTGGAATTCGTCAACTATTACAAGTTTTGAATTTATCCCCGGTTATCCGATGATGATCTATGTGTAATGAGAGACTAATTAATGCATGTATTTTTTAATTTATTAGAGCAACTTTATTGTCAATTATTACGATTGTATTTAATCCTCAGTAGCTGTGCAACACTAACGGTGATATTGGTAATAAATAGTTAACGTAAGGATAAATATTACGCTACCGCGGCAATGTATACTTCCTGGATTCTGCGTAAAAGAGCTTGTTCCTCTACTTATCAGGACTATATCGGCTAATATTCTACATGATAGACCCCCTTCCCGCTATTCTAAATAGTATGGCTACTTAATGATGATAACACATCAACAAGCAGCAGTTATAATTATTTAAAATTATTTTTTCCAATAACTGTGTGACAGATAAGAAGTTACGGATAAACTTGTATTTATCTCTATGAATACCTATACGATCGCTATTTGATTTCCTTATAAATCCTTTCACGTAAAGTAACTGATAAGAGAACGATCAAAGAGTTACAACAAAATCTTAAATTTAGCTTGACCTTCCAACTCATTTCGAAGACAAATGTAGTTTTTAAAATGATGCTTTTACATTTCACACCGGAAATAAATAAAAAATATAGTCAAAACTATGGAGTCACATTTGAAAAATCGAATTTGACTTGCAGTAACCTTGAAGGTCAAAGTCAAGATCAAGGAACACTATCGGATAGCCAGGAAAAAATCCTGCAACTTTTATATTTAACATTTTTCTGTAAAATACTTTCCCGCCAAGTTATCTTGCCGTGCCACTACTTCTGCTATACCCTGTATATATATGTTTTCTTGAAAAATATCATGTAACACCTGAAACATAAATCGTGTGGGTATATATACATATATTACATATATATCAAACAATACATGTATATATATATATATATATATATATATATATATATATATATATATATATATTGTTCGAGAGCGAGATTAATCATCTAGCATTAGGCGATCGAACGTTCAAGAACGTTCGCTCGCCCGCCAGCATCGCGACGGGCCGCGCTAGCCGCAGCGCGAGTCCACCTTTTTTTCTGTACTGATTTCACAGGGTGTCCGCGGTTGCCATGCCGACCATACGCGCAAACAAACAAACATTCGCGCTTCTCTACTCGCATGCTAGATCGCCGCTGTTACCATGCAGGCCTTATTTGGAAATGATCTCGAAGATTCGGCAACCGCGACCAACCAGCGAATGACTTGTCGCCAAGTGCTTTTTCTTTATAAGCTGCCCTCGCCGACGACGAGGGCAGTCCGTGCTTCGCGTCTATCACGAGAGGAGCACGTCTCGAACAGCTGATCTCAAGCGCCGGCAATATCGGAGAGCTCGTCGCGTGTCCAATCGGTCCGCCGGCTATTGTATCTTTAGCGGGACTGCGAGCTTCGTTGCAATCGCGCTACCTTCGACGCGGAGGAGCATCGCCGCGACTCCTCTCGAGCGCCGAGAGTCGATCTCGCTCTCTCGGGCCAGCTCCGACCACTTGAAAGCAAGTCGGCGAACTTCGTTCGTCGCTTGCCGTTCGCGCGCTATCGTGACTCAATTAACTTTGTTTGTGCGCCGCCTACTTGTGTTTTCATATTGTGCAACGACGTTGTGACTTCTTCCCTTTCGAGAATCGGCTCGTTCGACGGCTCGCGGAAGATTTCCGTCGCTCGCGAGTAAGATTTCCGTCCGCGGAGAGAGCGCCTCTCTCTCAACAAGATTTCCGGCGCGCTCGGCTGACCCGGCCGTCGGCACGTGAAGATTTCCGCCTCGAACCATCTCACCGTCGAACAGCACCCTCGAAAAGTGGTCGTCTCATCAATAAAGTGATTTACAACCAAGTGTATAATTGTTCGATTCGCTCTCCTTCCTCATCGCGCCCTGCGCTGGGCGAAATCAGCGCGTCAGCTCGCTGCCCGACGGGAGCTCAGTCCGTCGGATCCGCGACATCAAGCTGATCCTTCGAGCCGGATCGGTGAGGTTGAGCGAATTTCTCGAGCCGTCATTCGGAACGGAGTGCGATGGCAGAAATTTGGACGCGCCAGCAGCAGCTGCAGCGATCCATTGATCGTTTTCTCGAGAATTTTAAAAAACTGGGACGGTCGAACTTGACCGCCGCGAAGATCCGCTCACGCATTGCTGCGCTTCGAGATCTTTGGCAGCAGTTCCAAAGTGGGAACGCCGTGCTCCTTCAGTCCACTCCGGCAGCCCAACAGGACGCCATTGAATACTTCAGCGGGCAGTGCTTCGACGCGACGGAGATCTACCGGACAGCGCTGGATCACCTTACTGAGGCTCTCGAGGAACTCGAGCCTCCCGTGAGTCCTCAAAACGACTCTGCGTTTAATAACACAGCGCGTATCAATTCGGGGCCTCTCGCACAGCTTCCGCCTATTAATTTGCCTCCGTTCGACGGTCAGATCGACCACTGGGAGTCGTTTCGTGACCGGTTCACATCGTTGATAATCCGTAATCCGGAATTAAACAATTTCGCGCGTATGCATTTCTTGACCACGTGCGTGAAGGGTCAAGCGCTTGCATGCATTCTCAATCTGCCGGTCACTGCCGCTAATTTCGAGATCGCTTGGCAGGCGTTGGTTTCACAGTACGAAAACAAAGGCCGGCTTCTTCAACGACATTTATCGTCTCTACTTCAGCTACCCGCTGTCACGCGCGAATCAGCTGTTGAGCTGCAGGCGCTCCGCGACCAAGTTAAAATAACTTTGGCGTCTCTTATTCATTTGCCGCGCAGTCCGTCCGATCTGTGGAGCGATATGTTCATACATTTAGTGGTTCAACGGCTCGACGCGTCGTCACGAAAAGCGTGGAATCTGCGGGTGGCGGATCACGACGATTTTCCGTCCTTCGCGGATCTCGATCGCTTTCTTGCATCTCGCGCTCGCGCGTTCGACGAGATCGCGAGTGCGGCTCAGCCCCGATCAAATAACCGCAGATGTCAATCGCGTCAGGTTAGCGCCGCAACTGTGTCCGCCTCGTCTTCACAACAGTGTCCGATCTGCAATTCGCGACACTTTTTCAGCGCTTGTCCGACGTTTACGCAAGGGACACCGATGCAGCGTCGCGAGCTCGTTAAGAAGCACGGTCGGTGTTTCAATTGCTTGAGTCGTAATCATTCGGCAGCCGAATGTTCGAGCAAATATTCTTGCCGCACTTGCCAGCATCGACACCATACGTTGCTTCACTCGAGCTCGACGTCTGCTGCGAGACTCGAAGCCGCAAAAGTTGTAACGCCGCCGACTCCGAGCGACGGCTCGCGATTAGCAGTGCAATCATTGCTCGCGTCGCGCTCTCAAGAGAACAGTACTCAAATTTTGCTCGCCACTGCTCGCGTGCTGGTTCGCGGAGTCGACGGTCGTGCGGTCGAGGTTCGCGCACTCCTCGATCAGGGCTCGGAGATGACTTTCATCTCCGAGACCTGGCTCAAGTACTTAGATTGAAGCGCCGTCGAATGCCTACCTCGGTCTCCGCCGTCGGGTGCGTAAACGCCGGCACCTTTCGGCACGCTGCGTTTATCCTCGTTTCGCCGCGAAGCGATTCTTCTCTGACGGTGTCTACCATCGCTCTCATTTTGCGATCCTTAACGTCGTACGCGCCGCGACGCGTTGCCGGGCTCGCATCGTTAGCGCATCTCGCGTCGCTCGCGCTAGCCGATCCGGATCCTACGGGCACGGATCCGATCCATCTTATTCTCGGAGCCGACGTTTACGGCTCAATCATCCTAAATGGAGTACTAAAAGGTGGAGTAGACCGCCCAATAGCGCAAAATTCTATTTTTGGGTGGGTCATATCAGGACATGAGTACGTCTCGTCCCGCGTCGGAGGATGGTTCCGCGAGATCCTCGTCACATGGCGCGTCTCATATCACGGCGCTCCATTGTTTTCATTTCTCTTCGTTGGAGGATAGTGTCACGTCCTACCGACCAGGCTGACGGCCAGTAATATTTTTCTTTGTCCAAACAACCCTTTGCCTGAGACACGTCAGGTACGAAACCTTCCTTCCCAGAAGGAAGGCATCCCAGATAGCGTCACTACCATTCGGACCCCCCCCCCCCCTAAAGGCGGGATAACAAGAGCTGAGTTCGGTTTGTGCGGGAGGGGCCGCGATTTTTTGACAGTGCGTCGCCGGTTTCACTGGAAGCACGAACGATTCCACCTTTCCAAAAAATGGAGGTGGGAGAAGAAATCAAGGAGAACCTTGAGGGATTTTCCGACGCTTATTACAACCCCCCGATAAGCGTCGAGAGTTTGGCTGAGGGGCTCAAACTACCATTAGATCCAATGTCGCGACGGGATTTGGTACGCCGAGTTATGAAGGCCAACCATCTCGACGACTTGGTGGGAGATTTGCATGGCTGGACTAGGGCCAGCGAGATGGTCTCGAAATTCGAGCGGAGTGGTTCGTCGGCCCGGGCGGTGACGGGGAAACCCTCACTTCAACCCGAGAAAGTGACCAAGCCCTATTTTACGGGCGAGGTCATGGAATTCGTGAACCACATCTGGGACGAGACCGTGATAAGAGAGGAGGAAGGATCGGACGACGCCATCAGCTTGTGGGTCGTCATGCAGGGGGTAGGGCCTGCTCCACCACAATACCATAACCTACATAACCCTACGCACCGAGAGAGGGAAGGAGCACTTCTCGGTGGAGAAGAAACTAAGCCAGATCCATGCTTACCTGGCCACTACCAATGGGTCTGGATGGGCGGCGGCTGCGGCGGAGGCGCACAACAGGGAGATGCATTCCACCAATGGTAACATCAGTAAGGTGATGCTGGGGGAGTCGCGCGAAAGGGAAGAGTCTATCTCGCGCGATTGCGACTACGCCTGGGATGCGCCTGGGGTCAGGTGCATAACGAAGGAGTCGGCCGAAGAAATCCTTCGCGAGGCGGAAAAATACCTGGACGTCTCCTCCTACTGCGACGCAAAATACGGGTCGCACGCCACCTATGTCGCCGGGGGAACGCTGCACCAGTTGGCGGGGCCTGAGATGAGGATGTTTTTATCCCGCTCGAGCCCTAAGGAACCGACCGTGGCTGCAGCCCCTCTAAAGACGGGGGAAGTGGACACCACTGACCGATACCCTTCCCTTCGTAGTGGCAAGGTATATGGGGTCAGTCCTAAGGAGAAGAAGAAGGTAGAGGCGGTTGCTTCTACCAGCACAACGACAGCCAGCACATCATCCGCTGCAGAGACAGAAAGCGTCAACTTGTCCGAGGATTTAGGCAAGGATCAGTTGTGGTTTGGCATCAGCCGTGATAGGAGCAAACATCACGGAAAGATGATCCTCACTGACATCGGGGATATGATGTCACGGGCAGCTAAGGACCCCGAAGACCGTTCGGGTATCATACAGATGAACCGATCTCGGACGGTCTATAATTATATAGTGGGAGGGATGGCGGTGGCCGAAGCGACCAGGGTCGCCGACCACTGCGACTGGAGAGAGCTGGGGTTACGAGTCACTCTCTATGACGACCTAAGAGAGAAACGTTTCACCCAGCCTTCCGGGGTGGACTGGGCCGTGGCTAGAAGATCTGAGCCCCGGCTCGAATATCACGCCACGTGCGGTGAAGCCGCCTGGGGATTCAGGGCAGCCTGTATCAGCTGGCGCTATCTTGACGTCGAGCTGAGGAACAGGGGGTCAGTCAGGGTAGGTGCAAATTTCGACGAACGGTGGGACTTACGTTCTGATGAGGTTTGCACAATTGTTTTGGGGGATGAGTCTCCCCAGGCCGGATGTGGGAGGGATATATGGATCCTGTCCCACTTGGATTACCCCTTGGTTTACGGGGTGGAGGAGTTTGACGTTAATACCATCGACGCGGGGGGGAAGGTGAAGTCGGACCGGGAATGGTTCGTGCGGACCTCCTCCCTGGTAGACGTCAACAGTAAAGCGCGAAACATCTTGTTTGTGCTCCCAAGCGATAACCAGACCCACGTGAGAGTAGGGGGAGTGAAGTTTGAAGTCCCGATCGTCACTCGGTACGATGAACTGCCAGGCATGGGAGGGGGTCCCGCTGTCAGAGAGTTCGACCAGGGTGTCTCCGCCATGCTGGATCGGGTGTTGATGACTCCAGAAAGTTTGCGGGAGGCCTTCACCCTACATACCAGCCATCTATTTAAAGGCGGTTTGAACTGGATGGAGGTAGACAACCTGGCCTTGATAGCTAAGGTCAGGTGGCATAACCGTATGAGTGTGACGGTAATAGAAAGGCCCAATAAGGCAACCATCCGCCGATATATGAATACTCCCACTACATTCGGGAAGTTCGTAGGAGCCACGATCCAAGAGGAAGTGGGAGTGGAAAACTACGGTGGTGATGATGCGGTCACGTGTTTTGACCACATATTCACGGACCGGCACACAGCGCGATCGGCCCCTGGGATGAGGATCGGCAGGTGGGATGCGGCGGCAGAGCTAGGGTCAGGCTGCGGATTGACATTCTACGAAGCATTCGATGCCGAGAATAAGGAACTCGTTGAAATTCGAATGCACTGCGGGGGCCAAGACTCCCTCATACGCGCGGCATATTGGCGCCGGATCCTGGAGGTCTGGAAGAGGCAGAACGGGTTGAGGGACGAGATAGCCTCTCCAGGTTCATATCCGAACCTTGATAATTATTGGACTTCCTTCGTAGACAGCTCGGGGGAAGGGGGAGCCACTCTTGCTATGCTAATAGGCCTTGCATGCAAGAGCAAGTACACTACGTGGAGGTGGGACGTGAACGTGCTACGCACAGTAAACCCATCTGTGACTGGGGGTCGAACTGCCTCACTTTGGTGGCACACCCCGCTGACCGACGATTGGATACCCTTCGATATCAAGGGCGGACCGAATCATAGTGTGGACACTTACCATCTCAACAGTGTCCGCAGAGACTGGAACTACAACCATTGAAAGGTAAACTAGGAGACCAATATACCGGCCCTCACAAAGTTATAGAAAAATTACCACAAAATAACATAAGAATAATGATAGGAAAAAACCGCACGAAAATAGTGCATGAGAATAAAGCCAGACTCGCGCGTTAGAATAAGCATCCCCTCTCTATTGTATAACCACCCAATCGCATCGACCCCGGACAAGACAGACATCCACGAAGAAGGAAGCAGTACGTCTCCAACCGTGCACACGCGATGTATCCAGACGTTATCATCGTCCTTTTTTCGAGTCTTCTTTGGACAACCACCCCCATCGAGGGACTAGTAGGCTACGACTGCGGAGGCGAAGGTCTAAACATCACTTCCCTATCCCTAACCAACATCGCGGAATGCCAGATCGAGGATATGGAGCCAAGGACCGAAGAAATCTACCTCCAATTAATGCAGTTCAGTGAATTCAGCCATACCGAGGCGATCCAGTGCAGGATCGAAATCGACCGTACCATCTACCGTTGTGGCATGTTCTCACACGTGTCTGTGGTGGCAAACGGCAGACGTATATACATTAAGGAAACCTCCGAGGAAACCTGTCGGAAAATCCAGGAAACAGGTACTATCCTCATGGAAAATAACGCTATCATAGACTCGATAAAACGTAACTCCTCTACGACTAGGAGCCTCACTCTTGCCGGTACATTAGGAAACGACGGTAAATGCCAAGGAACTACCTTTAGTGACCCCTACGGCACATGGGAAAACGTAGTTGTCCAAGCCAGCATCAAGATAATTCTCAAGAATTATTTGATCCGGATCAAGTTTTCCTCAAACGAAGTCGTATTACCCTCCGGAGTTCGGTGCAAGGCCACCGACCACGAGTGTTATGATGCCGATGGCACCATTACATACTGGAAGACCTCACCAAGAGACAGTTGCGATTTTGACCGATACGACGTTCTTTACGAAGGGTCAGCTCACAAACTCTCGCCGCCACCGGGACAGGATGACGGGCTGATAATCTACACAGTTACGACTAACGAAGCAACCTTTGCTTTAACAAAATTATCAGAATCAAATCTCTGCGGATATAAAATTAGCCACACGGAACACCCCAAATTGTTCATTTTGGAAACAGTAAGGGATCGCACCTTCAAGGTCAAGACCGACATAGCGGCGGAAAATTTCGACATGTTCACTTACGTAAACTCTAAGTTTGTGTATATAGAACGCCACATGAAAAATCAACTGACTCGCCTATACAGGGACATTATGACACAAAAATGTGCCCTCGAAAAGCAAGTGCTCGAAAACGCACTATCTCTGTCCAGTATAGCACCAGACGAAATGGCGCACAGACTAATGAAATC